TGAACAGAGTTAAAAACCATTGTGCAGCGAACATATGTGTTTCTACACCGCGATCGCAAAAATGTTTATATAATTCTGGCAGCTGATCCTAAAAAATTAGTAATAATTGCAAGTAAGAAATATTGTATAATTCCATTTAATTAACTAAAATGTATTACAAACCTCTATTAATCTATTAAGCTGATAAAATCTCATATGAAGATTATCAAATCTATCCTTATATAAATCTCTTAGACCATAATCATACATTAATTTAACCAGAACACAAAAAGCTTGTTCTTCCGGCATCTACAAAAAATACCTAATGTTTTTTTTGTCATTACATACCATAATAAATTACTATCATACAAGTAAATATATTTCTTATAAATATTAATCATTTTATGTCAACTACTTACGTGAAGCAATAAACTAGCAACTAAAAAACTGAGTCCTTGACAATATCCCACTTCTTCATCATACACCGCATATGCTTTACTTATTCTGTACAAAGAATCTTGTCCTAAACCACCTGTTTCTTTGAAAAAGTCATGGGCAGGAAATGTTCTATTAATATCTCTTAAAATAACGCTCTCACAACTGCTTTCCTATAAATTATATTATGTATTAAATACAATATAATACAATTTCCTATGGATACAATATGAAATACAATTTTTCACATATTATTTTTACATACCTTAGTAATTAAAGTCCTATATCTATCCATCATTTCTTGTGAATTATCGCAATTACTTAAACGTTGCCAAACTTCACCGCGTAAAGCTTCAGGAATACCTTGTTTTGTAAGTTTTATAAGAAGTTTTGGACGTTGTTCATTTATTTGCCAACTATCAAGTACTTCTGCCCAATTAGCTAGTTCATCAGCAGAACAATCTTTTGATACTTCACCTGTACCACTTAACATTGGTTCATCGCCATCTATTAATATAAAGATATAATCAATATATTTCTTATTTTTCTTTTAATAAAATACAATTTTTTTTAAACCTGAATCTATTTCTTCTTTGGGTGTAAGTGTGTCAATACTAGTTAAAGAAGGAGATCTTATCAGTGATGCTAAATTAAGAGCAAGATTTAATCTGTTTCTGTCTAGTTCTCCTGAAGTTTCTATACTTTGTACTTCATAGTGAACTTCTGTTCCATCTCCGGATATTATCTAAAAATAATAGTATATGTTTATAAAATTTATACTGAAATGATTGAACAATTAAGTAAAAAAACTAATGTTTTAAATAATATCTTACTTCTTTTGAATTAAGATAAAATTGTTGTACAAGATTTCGTTTATTAAAATACCAAAATCTTTCATTTTGTGGAAATACTTTAACTAATGTTTCTATTATAAATCTAACAGGTTCTCGAATACCACGTATTACTAAATCAACAGCAACTGTCATATAAATTTTTTCTTCTCTTGGAGTTTCAATATTAAGAGTTTCTAAGGCTGGATCTGCAGGATCCCAATGTCCAAATATATTATAACATTGTTTGTCTTGAATTAGTGGACCAGCATTGACTTGCTAAACAATAATTTAATTTTATTACTGGAAGAGTAAACATATAATTAAATTATGAATATTTAATTCTTATATATTTAATTTTACCATTTCCAGTAAGCGCATATCACTATGTTTAACGTTGCGACCAGGACTAACGAGAACTCCAAAACATCTCTCAACTTCAAGAGTAATTCCTCCTTCTTTGCTAGAAACTTGCTGAATACTTAAACACACTTGTTTAGCTACATTACTTCGAAGTTTGAAGCAATTTCTGTCCTTAGGAACTATACTGAAACCTCCTTTGCCATCTTCTTCTTTTATTTCCATTGTTACTTCGAAAATAAATACCCGAGAATTAGTTTTTTCAGTTCCAATATTAAAACCATTGAAATCACTTCCTGTTAAAGAACTAGTCATTGACCGTGGTATTCTATGAAAAGCTTTGGAAAAGCAAGCAGAAACTTGTCCTACCTACAATGAATAATAAGATTAATATATTTTGACTTATTATATGATTATATAATGTTATTTTATAAAGATTGAACATACTGCTTCTGGTATATCACATCGAAAAACATGACACTGATAAATTGCAGATTCCAATGTATCTCCATGTGACCATGTAAAAGCAAAACATGCTGCACATGGACCAATACTTTCACCACGTGCATAAAACAAAATTCGTTGTACTTCATAATGTGCCATTGGTTGTTGAGTAGCAGCATCATATAATCTGTTAGATGAATATAACATATAATAACATATAACATATATATAATATAACATAAAATGAAAAATTCAATATAATTTTTGTTAATTATACATACACAACGGAGCCTTGAGAACTACTAGGCACAGAAACAGATACTTTAATTCCCAAATTAAGAGATTGTTCTGCATTTAATATATTCATATTACGTTGTATTTCACATTCTGATTTTGGTGCATTTATTGTTGCTGATCCCAAATAAGTTACACCATTAAAAATAGTGCATTCTTGTTGAACATGAGCTAAGGAATTTATTTCTAAAATATAATAAATTATATAATACAAGATATATAAAATATTTTTTATGATTAACATAAGGAAATAATAATTTGTACCTTCATCAATATAATCTTCTGGTTTCATGATATCTTGCTTTTCAGATGCAACCATACAAGAACTTACATCATAAAACTTACTTTGGCCTACTTTTTTAGATTTTGGTTGAGTTTGTTGTGCACTGCTTACAATTTTATATTCATTGCTTTCCATTTTTGAATCTTCTGTTAATACCTAGTTTTTATTAAACACTCAGATAATAATTGATATACAGTAAAAAAAAATAGATTAAATAGATTAATATTTTTTATTCATAAATAATATAAATATATGCAAACCTCACGAAGATTATTTTGCAGATCTTCAAAATTGCCGTTATTGGCAATTTTTAGCATTGGTTGTTCAATCAATGCTTGTTGATGTTTTCCATTACCTCTGTCATTTACAAATTCATATTCATCACTTGTTGCCACTGATTCCATTGATTTAACACTCATACTATCCTCCATAACTATGTCTATAATATAATACATAATATTATTATTTTGTCATGATGAAGAATAATGTGAAAAATTAGATAATTATTACTCAATGTATTCTTATACTCTTGTATTTTTATGTAAAAATTTGATATATATATATATATATATATATATGTATGTATAATGTATATGTATGTGTGTGTGTGTATATATATATATGTATATTATTTTAAAATTTAATAAATAATTATATTATAAAGATTAAAAAGAAAACAAAAATATATGAATTCAATTGTGATCACAACTACATAATAATTTAAAGATAAAACTAATTGCATATTTACTGTATATAGAAGATATACAATATGCATTCTATTTATAGAATGAAATGAAACAAGCAAAAAAATATATTTCCCACATATGATTGCACTTTATTCACTATCTTTCTCAAATGCATTTAATTCAATTTTTATTTTTTCTATAACCAGGAATATCATTTCAACGATAAATTCAATGCAAACAATCGAAGTGGGTAAAAAGAATTTGTACTTGTAACAGAATTCTCTAATAATTAAGCGTCTATCTCAATTTATCAACACAATTCAATTGAATACGAACAAAATAATTCACTAAATCAAGATAGGAAACGAACAAAACAAGCTTCGCGCATATAAAGTTTGATACGACATCACTAAAAGCACACTAACTCGAATTCATAATGTCGATTTGGCTGTCAAGTATTTCGGATCATCTGAATTGCATTCTTAAGTAGACTTATTCCTTGGTTTTCGCTGGTGAACACTTTTAGTTGTTTGCTTTTATTCGTACCCCTAGCAAAGAATACGGATTATCCTCTCGATGGATCCAAAATTTGAAGAGACACCGGTGTCTCTTCTTGCGTTATTGTTGATTAAAACTATGGACACACCCCAATTCCACAATCCACGCATCGATGTACCCACATTTAAATAATTTTTCAACAGTATCGATGAACATTTACATGATTTCACTCGCGTCAGAAATAATTTTGTTTGACAGAAAAGGCAACTTTGGCGTCAGCCATTCGAGTACTAAGGCCCCGGAAGTCTGCTTTGTTACAATGAATTACGAGCAAATCATCTTAAAGCGCGCAACAACTTCGAACCAACTTTAGTTGCTTTCTGCTTATGTAGATTAAGATTATTTTCTTAATTACATCTATTTTTTTCATATTATGTAATCATAAAAAGAACACTTATATTTTTTATTCCATCAGTAAATTTTTATATATCGTGAAAAATTTTATACAAATATAAATCCGATATAAATATAAAATTTTTTATTATAATTATTTTATTTACGAGCATTCTAAAAATATAATAATAATAAAAAGAAGCATGTTCATAAAAATTACTAAACGTTATAATTACTAACTAAATGGCATAATTTATATAGTTTTTTTTATATTACATTTATATATAATTAAAATATTTTTATCTTATAAATAATTTTATCTTAATTAAGTAAATAAATTAAATATGTAATATATAAAATTTAATATAACTGTATTAAAATATTTGTTGTTATATGAGATAATATGTAATATTTTATTATTTAAATAATAAAATAAATGTTACAAATTTAAGGAATTTTTTCATATAAAAATAATGTTTTTAATATTAATTTCTAAAATAATTAATAATATTAGCTTATAATATTGTATAATATTTAAATTTAGAAATCAAATTGTTTTCTTTCTAAATGTTTCTTCTAATTGGAGAGAATATTGTTCGTTATTATCGAAAAAACGGAATTATTTGATGTTAGCGACAGAATAGTGCAAAAGCGTGCCGGAAATTCTTTTGGATATTTAGATATAACCAATCAGGAAAGGTATCTTGTTTATAGTGAATTAATCTTAGAACCAATAGAATATTCGCATGAATATAGTTTATAGAGTTAACGATAGGTGGTGCTGTAACGCTGGTGAACAAACTGGAGTCAAGACGCGTCAGTTCACAGACGACCTCCGTTCCGTCGGATGTGAGGAAAATTTTTTGTCTGTAAAAATTATCGGGTTCTCGTACTGAGACTCGTAATTTCGTGGTTTTTCGAGGAGTGAATTTGTAATCATGAAAAGTGTAAGAATGTGCGAAGTCGGCTAGAATCAATAAAAACAGGAATAAGTCGAAGACAAGTGAGTACAATTCAGAGCTAATGACTTTTTTTTTGCTTCTTTTCTGGAACGGGCGTCGCATATCATTGATAATTTTGCGGTTTATCATGCTTTCATTAGCATCAGGATCTTTTTTGTTTCTATATATTGTAGAATTGAATAAATCCGCGAGAAAAATCTGTAAATTTATTAGGTCGTCATCGGCGAGATGAAAAGAGAGGTTATAAAGACAGAAACTGTTCTGCACCTGCCATCATGAGACGATTTCTGAAGTATCGAATTGTTGTCTCTCATTTCTTCTTTCAATAAAGTACACGTTATGAGTATTTCAAAATTTGTAAATATATCGAAGAAATGTTGTATACAATATTCAGTAGATCAGTTTATATATAATATAGTTGTTTGTATTGAAAAAATACGGACTATATATACATTACAACGTTATGTTCTATCACAGATATTATTTGACAGGTGATGGAATACTCTTGTTGTCTTGTTACAAATTATGTATCGCGAAATTTAAAAATGGTAGTTAACTCTTGATTTATTATAGTAATTGGCGAAAATAATATATCGTTTATTTATTTTCGAATAATTTTATCTTTAGAAAAAACAATATTAATTCTAAAATATCATAATATTTCGATTATTTATATAGTGTTTCTAACCGTTTTTCATTCTAGACCTGAAAGTAGCCGAAATAATTTCGGTATGTACACGATTATCGTTTGTTTCGCGCTTTTTTTCGCATACTCATTGCAAGGTTATTCGGGACAGAACACATTCGTCTAGTATTCTTAATCGTGTGTGCACCTCTTATTATAAACGGAGTTTATTAGTTAGTGTCACATGACGGACAATTTATTTAAATAAACTAAGTGGAAATACGAGTAACCGTGTTTTTAATGCTTTTAATTTTTAATGCATGGAAAATCAGACAGGTAGGTCAAATAACGTGAATTAGATTTCGAGAAGATTCGTGAATTCTTTTTCGCTTTCGATAATTATATATTCATAGTAATAGCGGTTGCATGTGATTATGAAATTAAACGATTCAGCCGTAATTCATAACTTTATATCTAGAATCATATTGCATTATCATAATTAGAAAGTATTTTAGAGAATTGTATCTGTTCGAACAATATTTACGGATAGATAATCAAAACTGAATTAATGCAAGATTCTTTAAATATGAGATCTATTTTTTTATAGTTTGTTATAGTAGTTATAACAGAAAATCTGATTCTTTTTTTTTATATTTAATATTGTCGGATAAATTTCGTTCTTTCCATTTAATGATATGATGAATTAAAAGCGAAAAAAGAATTTTTTTTATCATATTTTTTTATTTAGATTAAGATTAAGATTATTATATATATATAATTTCACAGAAAATTTTTACAATAAACAAACAAGAGTATAGATTTTTGTGATTATTAGAGAATAATTTATAATCTAAGAAACATTAATTGTTTTTTCTTTTTATCGATGATAAATTAAAAATTATTTCTTATCTTTTGTTAAACGACAATCAAAGCATTTCGCCACAGTTACGTGGAAGCCTATTTATTATAATGATAACAAGAAGGCACAAACAATCAAAGAAAGGAGACTCTAGAAGTTTGAGATTTCAAAACTACACGTAGTTCTTATCTTATCGTTCTAAATTAAAACCGCACTTTTTTTTTAAGTATATAAATATTTTAATATATTCATGCTACATTTGCTACATATTTTATAAATCCTATATTTTCATTTTCAATCTGTTCAAGGTTGCTTGTTTCACGGAAATTTGATTTCGGTAAATCATGTTAAACTTGCTTTTCACTCTTCATTAACAAACTATGAGTCTGCGTACAAAGTTTCATTCACTCATAATAGTTATTGTTTCTCTCGAATCAATTATTACTTAGACAGTTCAATGAGTTTCCATGCTCGTAAGTTTTCACAGCATATCTTGAAAGCACTATTTTCATTCGTAATCACTTATCTTTGAATTATCTATACATATTTATCATAGCAAATTGTAGTTCAATTACTTATCTTTGAGAGGCGCGTATCTAAGAAATTTATTGCTTTGATTTATAGATTGACAAATAATTAAAAACCTTAGAATAAAAGTGTCTGTAATTTTAATTTGAGAAGATTAGATTTTTACATTTTAAATTTATATTATTGACGTATCAAACAGGTTTCCATAAAAAATAAAATTAAAATATATTTTGAATACAAAATAGAAATAAAATAAATAAAAATGTTCATTTTAACAATATCTTTGAATAAATAAAATTAAAAGATATGATAATTGGTAAAAATATTTCCTTAAAATTTGCCTTCGATTTTTTGCTAGATAAGCATCTGCAAAAAAAAAAATACACTCGAGAGTAGTTAAAAAAGATTCATAATAAGAACGATACAATTTCAATTATCACAATTTTATGAGTTTATTAAATATAATCTTTTCACAAAATAATTACAAATAATATTTAATATTCGTGTAAAAAATGAATATTTTATTGAAAAAAATTTATTATAAAAAATAAAAATTATTAAAATACATCTTTCTATTTTTTCTCTAGCTTTATCCTCAAATGTACGTACGATAGTATCTTAACGTTCTTTAGCTCTTTTATAATAACGTACAGTTGCGCATACGTAGTGTGCGCAGTGTGAATGGTCGGAACGATTGACGAAAGAGTCATCGAGGGCCGTTAATTATTCGTAGCGATGTAGAAGCTCGCAACTCGGTCTCTCGCCTCGAGCAACTGGAGGGCTGCGGTCACCTACTTCGCAGCTTGTAACTCGACTCCAGGAAGAGCGAGTTCATTTTCGCTTGCTCGCGTTTCCCAGCCGCAATTAGCGTTTTCAAAACAATTGCCGTTGTGCAGAGCGATGCATGTCTAACGTCCAACGTCGACGACTGGCCGTCCGTCGATTCTGCTATAGGTTTCGAAGTCGCGTGAACGTGCCTATTGAAAATGTCGATAAAGGTTCAGTGACATTCGTTCGCGAACGTTCACCCGCGAACGCTACTATGTATTTGTTCCATGTTGCTTTTCGCTCCTGTTAGTTCGCTCTTTTACCGATAGGTCGTTTGTCGCCCATGTCGTTGGTAAATATGTCGCTTAGGTTATGATTAGATTGCGGATTTTTCTGCAAATATGTATTTTACGCGTTACGCCCGTTTTGCATATTTTGCACGCGAATGACTTATCGTATATCGAGCGAAATAGGTATCGTGTAATAAATAGATCTTTCGTAATAAGAAGACACAGTTGATTCAATATTTAAATATTGCGGTAGGAATGAACAGAGGAGTAAAAGGGAGAGGAAAGGGGAAATGGTATAACAGTTAATAATAACTTTTAAAAAATAGCGTGATGTGACATTGAAGCAAATTTAATCGTGTAACTAATTTAAAAAAATCCAATTTATGACTTTGGAAAAATGGATTTTTATGTATATCATCGAACAAATTACGATACACGATACACTAACTTGGAATATATTTTACATTTGCATAAGAATTGGCAATTCTAATTATAACTTTTTGTATACAACTTTTTTTTTTCGTGATTAATATGCATGAATATTTAACATCATTTCAATATTATACTTTCTTGAAAAATTGTCATAATTTATAGCAAGGATATATCGTTATATAATTTTCATCAGCACTCGAGGCGTTAAACGAGAAATAATCCGAACTATACGCAACAACTTTAGAATCGACATTAACCAAGCACGTGTCTATTCTCAAAGAATTCCAGAAGCAAACAACAGACCAGACTGTCCTTTTTTTTTTTTATAGTTCCGTCATAAAAGTTTCCAGATTTATGACTCTCGAATTATCCCCCTTCGACGTATATCGTTAAACACAGCCGAACACGTGTTACAGTCGTGCGTGAGACGCGGTTTACGATTCCTCCTACTTTTTGTTATCAATAAGATACTCAATTTCTGTTTAATTTGCAGTCTCGACGACGAGGATGGCGTGCACGAATAATTGCCGTTTCTGAGCGTCGGCATCGAATAAAGGATCGCCACGTCCGTGTGAGAAAGCGAGACAGAGTGAGCAGGGATGTCGCTGAAGCTTCGAACAAGATCCGCCCAGCCGGCTTCAAGTGTTCAGCTTCGTCCCTCGAAATTGACCAAGCTCTAAAACGAATCAATATATATATACAAATATATATATATATATAAAAGAAAAAGGGATCGACGATTTGAATTGAAAAGAGAAAGGAAGAGAAAGAGGAGGATCGTGGAACTGCCTTTTTTTGTAGCGGGATAGAAAACGTTAAGATATATTTTGGTAAACGTAATTAGTGAAAATAGCAGTAGCGGCCAGTCTGCGAAAGAGCCACGTTAAATGGTCTCATTTAGTGCACAATTTCCGCTTTGCTCGCGCGCCCCGTCTACCGTGTGCCACGTTCTCCGCTCCAAGGAATCGTCGAGGATTTTCAAGTAAGAAACTGGAGAATCGCGGACGTTCTCCATTTTATCCACGAGTAAGCGAGTCGCGGTCAAAGTGAAGTGTCTCGGTCTTAGTGAGATGGCCTTCATGATGAAGAAGAAGAAGTACAAATTCTCAGTGGAGGTGGACCTCGAGGAGCTCACCGCGGTGCCATTTGTGAACGCAGTGCTGTTCGCCAAGCTCAGACTCCTCGACGGTGGATCATTCGTCGATCATTCGACCAGGTATTTTCCCTTTATTGTCTTGCAAATGTATTCTAACATCGATTTCTGTTTTCTTTATTTTTCGCATTTTTTTTTTTTTTTTTTTATTCGCATAAAATTGTCCCCTTCACGATCTCGTTGTTTGAAAAGGAAGAAAGATATTCTTCTTTCGAAGCTCTCTGATAACTGGATTGTCGCGTTGTACAAGGAAAAAGTTTACGTTTAGATAACAAGAATCGCGATACGTTGTGTCGATTTATATATCATTTTGCACACCGTTCATAGACATAGGCGAATACTATATTCGTGGGACTATATAACGTCATAGCTGAGGAGAAGAACGATGTCTATATTTAGCGTGGCTCACACATTGAATTTTTTAATCCGCCATATAATAACGATCGCGTGCCTATACAGGTTTACGGCTCGTTAAAATTACTTTTTCAACCAGACCCGTGGTGTAATTACTCTCCGGTTTATAAGAGACGCTTGTTTTACGCGAGAACGAAAGTTCTTCCAAAGTGTTTCGTGTGCGTTCTCGCTTTATTTTTTTTGCAAACTTCATTTTCATGCTCAACGTACAATTCATTCCTAAAAAAAAAAAAAAAAACGAAAAAGAAGAAAAAAAACTACTTTATCTCTCTCTCTCTC